CCTTGTCCCTTGCCTTTGTTGGGGTTGATTCGAGATGTTTCTCCTCCTTGTATTTTTCCTTGTTATCCCCATCTTTGACATCATAACTCTTCTTCTCTTCAGGTTTTTTGGACCGCTTTGAATAATCAATCAAGCTTTCAACAACCACGATGGCAGTGGCAAGATCTTGCACTCCTCGCCTCCTAAGCTCGGTCTTTGCCCAATGTTGGAGCTCATCCATGAAGTTGAAAAGAGCATCATTGTTTGAAATATCTAGGATTTCAAGAACCAAACTTGTAAACTCCTCAATGTAGTCTCGAATCAAACTCTTGCGTAAGCCTTCGCAGCCGGACTCGAGCCTCATTCTCGGCACATTCTCGGGATAGAACTGTCTCTTTAGCTCTCTCTTGAGGTCATTGAAAATGGACATGGAGCACAAACCTTTCTCTACATCTCTTTTTTCTCTTCTTTACCAAAGCATAGTGATGTTCGAGAGATAAAGAGAGACAAATTGTATTTTTACATCTTCATCGACAATCCCCATCGCTTCAAAGTATTGCGCTGGTCCCCATAGGAAATTGTTTACTTCCTTCGCGTTGCGAACCCCTCCAAAACTCATAGGTTTTGGAACTTCAATTTTCTTGGCTTTGAAAGTGATCCCTTGTGGATGCCGCTAGTGCCCTCTTGTACAGCGAAATATCTCCACGCATCTCCAAGCTAGCACGCACGTCGCTCATCTCTTTTTCATAGGCTCTTCGCACCTCTTGGAGCTTCCCCAATAAATCCTCCTGCAACTTAGTCATATAGCCCATTAAGGTCTCCTCAAGTTGGAGCATCATACCTCTGATTGTTGAATGGATGGTGACGTCCTCCTCGAGTCCATCATCAGCCCTTTGGCGAAGGTCCTCTACTTGGCCCTCCATGTCATTCATTGCCTCCTCCATCCGAGCAAGGCGCCAATCAAAGTAATGCATAATCTCCTTAGATCGCCCATGTGGCTTGGGTGCAACGGGATCTCTTTGCTCCTGGCGACCCCGCCCTTGAGATGACTCCACATTAGTGGCTTCCGACTCCATCACATGCTCTTTGATGTTTTTTGTCATTCCTTCGAACCAAGACTTTGATATCAACTGTCACGGACTAACTCTCCCCAAGTCACCCGTGCGGCTTTAGCGTTGCCCTTCAGCACTAAATCAGTTTAATCCTCACAGCGTTTGGATTTGTGAGCACCAAGCACTCTAAAGAAGAAGAGCAGAGAGAAAGGAACACCTCACACTTGAATACTTGGAATTTTTGATTGAATGCTTGGTGATTACAAATGAGGGGAGGCACCTCGATTTATGGTCCTCCTTCAAGCCATGAGAATGTTCTAGAATTCCCTACTTTCTAGATTATTCCATATAATTCTTATATAAATGCATAATCCTAGACCCTTCTAGATTCTTCTTGAACTCTTCATGCTCCATCCTTGAGTTCTTCATGGAGTATTGTCTTCCTTTGACCTCTAGAATTGGGTAGAAGTTTCTAGAGTTGTGTGGAACTTAGAGTTGTGTGGAACTCTCTTTCACCTTCTTGGCTCTAGAAGGTTCTTGCCATGTATGCCTCTTCTATAGTTTTCCTTCCCAAGCTTGTCTTGTCATTTCCTTAAGGATGGCAGGGCGTGACAGACAGCTACAATAAGGACATAAATTTTTATAAAACAGTAAACATGAGCACATAAATTTTTAAAACCCCACAAACAAGAAAATAGTTATGGGGCTGAGGCGGGAGCAGTTATCTAATATCTTAATTATTTTATTTTTAATGGTCAACAAACACGAACAGCAAGCTTTTTTTTTAAGTTCCCTTCATTTAGCAATGTTTGTAGATCGAAATGTGCAGAGTTTATCATGTTCTTACAAGTTCTATTCATCTATCCTTTGTTGTGTTTTTCAGAGCATGTTTGGCTTCAATAAATTGGACGGAAAGCAAACGAAATTTAACTGCAAACAAAATGTCCCTTAGTTTTTTGCTTCAAGAATTTCTTGTATCAAAACAGAATCATTTAACTGCAAATTACAGGTTTGCATGGTTCAACCTAAGAAAGAGATGGACCTTCAATTTGAGTACACAAAGCTGAGCACTCCTTGGGGATATGTTAGCGCAATTGCATTATGTGTGACAACATTTGGGACAATAGCTTTGATCAGCGGTTTCTTTCTTAAACCTGGCGCCAGATTTGAAGACTATGTGGCTGATGTCATACCACTTTTTAGTGGTTTCCTGACAATATTAGGGGTTTCTGAGGCATGTTAAGCTTCCATATCCTCCTTTTTTTCTTAATCACTGCAATTTTGTTCCCTTTTCTGTCTCCATTAGATTATGCTAATGTTTCTCTTTACTACTATTCCCATTCCTTGCATTACTTTGGCAAAACATTAATCAATCTGATTATTTATAGCAAACATCAGATTTCGACGAGAATAACAGCTGCTCGCTATGGCGTAACTCTGAGCCCATCATTTTTAATTCCATCTAACTGGACGGGTTGCCTCGGAGTGATCAATAACTATGAGTCGTTGCTTCCCAACAAGAAAGCTTTGTTTGATATTCCAGTTGCTCGCACAGCCAGCGCGTATCTGACTTCGTTAGCGCTGGCAGTCTCTGCATTTATTGCGGATGGAAGCTTGAATGGAGGAGATAATGCACTGTAAGTTCTTAATTGATTCATAAGGTGAAGAAAATTGCAAAATTGTATGCTTTTATAAGGCTCAATGAAGCGCAGTGCTCATTTTGCAGATTTATAAGGCCACAATTCTTCTTCAACAACCCCCTCCTTTCTTTTGTTCAAGTTGTTATAGGTCCCTATGCGGATGAATTGGGGAATGTTTTGCCTAATGCTGTTGAAGGGGTGGGTGTGCCGGTTGATCCCCTTGCTTTTGCTGGCCTTCTAGGTATGCTTCATTCAGCTATTGTATGCTTCTTTCAGTTTCTTTTACAGTTTGTACTTTCCTCCTAAAAGTGAATTCTGAGTGTGCAGATTCTAAGTGTGACAAATTGGTGGAAGTTTAGTTGGATGCGACATAAATGTAAATTGTTGAGTTGAGTATAGCAAGTCTTGGAAGAATGAGTAACGGTAGAGAATATATGAATTAGAAAGTCTTGAAATAAAATCGAAGGACTTCGAGGAAAAAAATAGACTTCATGTAACATAGAGATTTTTCAAAAAGATCTGCAAAGAATAGATATAATACCACTTCTAGGACTCAACATGAATGAATAAAAAACTAGAATTCATAAGTTGATCTTAAATAGCTTGGGATAAAATCAATAATGATGATTTGATGGATAGAATTTAAATTCTTGGTTTTATAGTCTCAATCATGAATGTGAGAAATGACATCTAATTATGTGGACATAGAAATCTCATTTAGTTCTACTTTTTTTACTTGTACTATTCATAGTAAAATAATATGAAAGTAAGGTGAGGATGGATTACTTAACTTTACTCGAAATCATAATATTATAGTATAAACTTTGGGGGCATTTACAATTATACCACATAATTCTTTTGTATTTACGTATCTAACACTTAAACTTTCATATTTACATGTACAACACTCAGATTTTTCGTATCACATCAAAATTATCATTGCTAAATACTTTTTAAAAGTGAAATACAACTTTTCATGCATTGACTTATGATACAAGAGTGTTATAAATGTAAATATCAAACTTTTGGTATTGGATTTATAAATTCATAAGAAATGGGTGGCATGTATGTAAATTTCCCTAAAAGTTAATGTGATAATGGCATACTCACAACATCCCTAGTATCTTTCTAGGGCTCCTAAAAGGTGATTGGGAAACAAATTTAAGGGAGGTGGTTATGGAATAGGAAATGATAATATGTGAGATCGACGATGTGTGGCGATATGTGTTGTTTGACGGTTGTCTCGGCTGAAAACAACAGAGAAACCACTAAATGACAATATACGGACAGTAAGGACGATCCACCACATACAAAAGAAAACTATATAACACTTCAAATAGCACAAAACAGAAAACATCTCTAAACACAATAACAATAGCGAAAAATCCTCCCAAAATATAAAATATATAAATAATCTCTTAATTGAGATACCCTAATTAGAAAATATATAAATAGGAAAGAATCAGAAAAAAAAAAAACTATATTGAAATTAGAAATTGACGACCCTCTATTCGAACCTGCGATCATGGGATCCTTGATTTCGAGTATAATGGGATTAATTGCTAGCGGGATCATGGTTCTGCGAAAAAAAAAAATGTTTCATTGTCATTATCTCTAGTTAAGAGAGGCTTCTCTTTCTTTTGTGGAAGGATCTGAATTCCACTATCTGATGTTCTTTCCCACAATTACCTATGGAGATTTTCAAAGCTATAGTTCATCACTCTTGTATGACTATCTGTCTGGGGATGCACTGATGAACCGGAACTTATCACTCAGTTTACTCTCTATACTTTTCCAAAAATAGCTTAGAAATTACTCATATTTATCTAAAGTGATGACATACTAGATCTCCCCCAACAACGACAACTTAGGAGATAAGGTTGTACATCTAAAAAATTTAAAATTCTCTTATCTAAGATTGACCTATGTCTAGTATCGGTTACTCTAAGTCATGAACCTCTTGCATAATTAATGTTAATCTTGCTGATGCTCCTCGTAAGACCTGTAAAAAAGTAGTTTGTGGATCCACATTCTCAAATTTTATATGAACGCCCCTTACCTCGGATTCACTATCTTTTAAGACAACCAAAGTTATTCCTATTGGAGTTTCTCTCGTGGGCTCAACTTAAATCACTAGCATCTCTCCCTTGTCAATTGCAAGTTGATACTTCTCCTTGATGTCCTTTTTCGCTCATATGTCATTGTTTTTTTTTTCAACTGCTTCATGCTCAGTGAAAGATATCATTCTCCCGTTAGGTAGTCGGATGCAATATGCCCAAAACCATAACGATTAATGCACTTTATGGCTGAGAAATACGGATTTCTCCTCTGGTAGGTCAGTTGAATGCTCCACTAAGTGTACTATTGTTGTCTTATCCTGGGGTTGAACTCTTCTTGTAAGGTGTGGCAGTTTTCTGTTGACGTTGTTTCACCACCTTCAAAGCTAGGATCTATATATCGAGTAGAGACTAATAGGATCGTAGTTGCACCACATTTCTAATAGAAGACACTAGTCCTTTAAGATTACTCACCACTGTATGCTCTTCTAATTCTACCAACTCATATTTCAACATGAGTTGATTAAATTCAGTTGTGTACTCCTTCACAGAAGAATCTCACTAGCGCAGATGATTGAGTTTTATAAACATATATTGTCTGTAATGCAGGTGAAGGTATTTGTGCTACATCTCCCTTTCCATCTTAGGCCAGGTGATGAACTTATTCTTCTCTTCGCATTGTTGAATAAGCTTTTGGTTCTCCCGCCATAAAGAAGCATTCTTCTTATGTTTGATAACTGCCAATTTAATTCTCTTATTACAAGGAACTTATTTACTCTTAAAAATTTATTCCACTATTTAGAGCCACTCAATAAACGTGTCTTGGTCCATGCGATCGTTAAAATCCGGTAAGTCATTCTTCATTCCAATATATTGACTCTTTTGTTGATATTCAATGCTAAATCGATTCGAAATAGACCGTTCATCACTTGAAGCTTCTTGGTGGAAGAAATTTAATTCCTCATCTTGATCGGGTGAGTAACCGTTGTGGCTATTGGTGCCCTCATCGGATCATCTCCTCTCAAAGGCATTAAGTCTCTGTTGCAATTGGGGAATTTTCTGTTGCATATCCTCCATAGTAAGCTCTTGGACTCCTCTCCTTGGCAACATTATGTCCTTTCTCGATCAAGATTTCAACGGGTGTAGGATTATGTAGATAGAAGGTTGGTCAAAGGTTAGAGTTTTGGTTGTAGGTGTTAGGATGAATTGTTGGCGGTGATAGGAAGATTGAATTTTGAAAATTTAAGGTTGGGGATTATGAATCACGTTGGGAATGATTTAGGTATAATGGATTTTTTTTTTTTTAATTGGGACAAGGAAGATAAATTTCTAATAATTTAGTATTTTCGGCTCTGATACTAGATGATCCTTTTCTAAAGCTCCTATAAGGTGTTTAGGAAGAGGAAAAGGGAGGTGATTGTGGAGTAGTAGCAGAAGGATAATATGCAAGGTCGATGGTGTTTGGAAGCGAATAAGCGTTGTTCGATGGCTGTCCCTGCTCAAAATTGCGGAGGGAACCAAGAAATGATGATATACAAATGGTGAGGAGAATCCATCACCTGTTCCTTAGTAAAATATGGAGACATCTTTTGTAAAAAGAAATGATAAAATACTCTGAAGAGCATAAAACAAAAAAAATATTTCGAAACACAATAATAATAGACTTGAAAAAAACCTGTATCAACGGAAATCTTTTTTAACTTCAATCTCATCCCAACAATTATGTCAAATGAGACTTTTGATAATGTGTTTTTGTACATGTATAATCCTTGTGTTGCAGGGATAGTAGTGACCTCGCTGAACTTGCTGCCATGTGGAAGACTCGAAGGAGGCAGAATCGCACAGGCTTTGTTTGGAAGAAGCACAGCAACTCTGCTTTCTTTTGCGACTTCACTGCTGCTGGGAATCGGTGGACTGAGCGGCAGTGTGCTTTGCTTGGCCTGGGGCTTGTTTGCAACCTTCTTTCGTGGCGGAGAAGAAATTCCGGCCAGGGATGAGATCAGTCCCCTCGGCGAGGACCGTTATGCATGGGGCTTGGTCTTGGCCGTAGTTTGTTTCCTTACACTCTTGCCCAATGGAGGAGGAACCTTCTCAAGCTCCTTCCTCAATCCTCCATTTTTTAGAGGAGACGGGAGCTTCTAAGAGCTACCTTTCATTTGTAAATCAATCTTGTAATGCATTATCAATCCTTCTTTTTTGAGGCATACTTCAATACTGTATGAGAAACATTAATAATTCTTATTGTTATTATTATTATTATTATTATTATTATTATTATTGTTTGTGTTCATATAAATATAAATAAGCTTGGAGTAGTAAGAACCTTTTATATTAGTTTCAAACTAATGCTATCAAAACCATCCGAGAACAGTAAAAAATTGTGATGAAAGCTGACAAAAGGTATTCTTTTTTAGGTAAAGATGTGAGGGGAGAAGAAAAAGAGGAGAGAAAAATTACATCTTGGTTCATCATTTTGAGTGTTTGAATACAATTTGATTCATGAGTGTTCATCAACAAAGACGGGATTTTTTTGGAGGTAGCTTACATGAACAATACAGACAGACGGTAGATGAGCCTGGCTTTTGCCCACTCCCGGAGCTCAACAAATAGCTTTCTTCTCTTCCGCAATCTGCTCAAAACTTGTATCGCAAACCGAGACCTCGTCGTCGGCCGCAGCATCCACGCCCTCTACCTCAAGTCTTTCATTCCTCCTGACACCTACCTCTCCAACCACTTAGTCCTTCTCTACTCTCGATGCCGCCAACTAAATCTCGCCCGCCAACTGTTCGACGAAATACCCCAACCGAATGTCTTCTCATACAACACCCTCCTCGCCGCTTACGTCCACGAGTCACAGACTCACCTCGCTACCGACCTCTTCTCCCGCATTCCCAACCCAGATCTCGTTTCCTTCAACACACTCCTCTCGGCTTACGCAGCCGTAGGTCGCGCCGCCGATGCCATAGCCCTCTTCTCCCAAATGCGCCATTTTGATTCTAACATGGACGGCTTCACACTCTCCGCTGTGTTGTCCTCTCTCCGCCTCAGTGGCGTCGAGCAGTTCCATACCATCGCCATCACAACTGGTCTCTATTCTTACGTCTCCGTCAACAACGCTCTCATATGTTGCTACAGCAGAGCCGGCTTGCTTATAGATGCTGAGCAGTTGTTCCATGAAATTCCTGTTATGGATCGTGATGCAGTTTCATGGAACTGCATGATTGTTTCTTATGGGCAGCATCGGGAGGGATCGAAAGCATTGAGCTTGTTTCAAGAGATGATCAGGCGAGGCTTTGTCGTCGACATGTACACACTTGCAAGCGTTCTGACAGTTTTTACGACGTTGAAAGACCTTGCTGGCGGAATGCAGTTTCATTCTTTCTTAATCAAGAGCGCTTTTGAGAAGAATCCCCATGCCGGCAGTGGCCTGGCTGATCTCTATTCCAAATGCTGCAGAGTTTCGGACGCCATGAAGGCGTTTGAGGAGGTTGAAGAGCCTGATTTAGTTGTCTGGAACACGATGATCTCCGGTTTCTCGTTGGATGATGAGTACTTAGAGGAAGGGTTACAGTTCTTCCGACGCATGCAACGCGCTGGATTTCGTCCCGATGATTGCAGCTTCGTCTGCTGCATTAGCGCTTGCTCAAACCTCTCGTCCCCGTCACAAGGCCAACAGCTGCACTCTCTCGCAATGAAGTCCGACTTTCCCACAAATTTAGTATCCGTGAACAACGCGCTGATATCAATGTACTCCAAGTGCGGGAACCTCAAGGATGCCGACAAACTGTTTGTCAGAATGCCCGAACGGAACTCTGTTTCATATAATTCTATTATTGCAGCTTATGCCCAACACGGCCTCGGTCTTCACGCTTTGAAATTGTTCGGCGAGATGCTCGTTTCAAAGAACGAGCCAACCAGCATAACATTCATCTCAGTCCTCTCGGCTTGCGCGCACACTGGGAGAGTCGATGAAGGCCAGCGTTACTTCGATTCCATGCAGAAAGATCACAACTTTGAGCCATCGGAAGAACATTACTCCTGCATGATCAACCTTCTCTCCCGCGCAGGCAAGTTCGGTGAAGTGGAGCAGATGATCAAAACAATGCCTTTTGATCCAGGGGCGATTGGCTGGGCGGCTGTGCTCGGCGCTTGCAGAACACATGGCAACTTGGAGCTCGGAGCACGAGCAGCGGAGAAGCTTCTTGAGCTCGATCCTTCGAACGCCTCCGCTTATGTGATGCTCGCCAACATGCATGCAAGCTTTGGGAACTGGGAGGAGATGGCTAGTTCTCGGAAATTGATGAGGGATCGAGGCGTGAGGAAGAAACCAGGTTGCAGTTGGATTGAAATGGGAAAGGTGATTCATTTATTCGTAGCTGATGATGTTTCTCACCCTCAGATTAAAGATATATATCGGTTCTTGGAGGAGATTTCAGAGAAGATGAAGCAGGCGGGGTATGTACCTGATGTGAAGTGGTCACTGGTGAGGGATGATGTTAGGGAAGGAGTGGCGAGGTTGGGTCACCACAGTGAGAAACTGGCTGTTGCGTTTGGGTTGATCAGCACGGCGGATGGTACGCCCATACTCGTCATGAAAAACCTTAGAATCTGTGGAGATTGTCACAACGCAATCAAGTTTATTTCCAAGATTGCAGGGAGGGAGATCACAGTCAGGGATGCGCATAGGTTTCATTGCTTCTCCAGTGATGGGAGCTGTTCCTGTGGAGAATTTTGGTGACGCTTCTGTTAAATCATAGGAGTTCTCTGAAGAGAAATTTTGTACATTTTTTGACTTGAAAACTAAGGCTAAATTTCTTTGTTTTGACTTGGTAATGATTCTTACAAGCATTTTTTCAGCTAATAAATTGATGTTGTTGGACGAACTTTTTATATCAAGCTATCCATTGGGCCATTTTGACAGAACGTGATAACTTATACCAGTCATGTTTTATTTTCTGAATCTATTATACAAAAAAGAGATAAAATCAAGTGGCTTGGCTTAATTAAAATAATTCACTTTATAAGTAAGATTATAAAAAATTATTTTTTTCTTTGAACTAGTGAACATATGATTACAAAGATGAAAAAATTGATTTGATGAACTTTAATTATGGATTGCTAGAGAAATAATAGAAGGTGATTACTGACAATGATGATTTGATGGCATTCGTGAAGCAGTAGCGATTGAGTGATGGCGGTTGAATTACAATGATCAAACAAGATTTATCGAGTGATTTTGGTTGGATGATAGCAATCACTTATAATCAAATATGGCTTTAGAAAGTTTCTTGATCTTGAAGCTTTTTATTTGTACTTTTCTTTATTGACAATGTAGTAGGTAGCCTAATTATTCTTCTGGTGTACAGTTAATGATTCTAGATCACAATCAATTTTAATATTTCAAGTGGCCAAATAAAAAATTAAATGGTTTTAAATGTTAACTTATAAACATGACATACTTTAGTCTAAGAAATTTATATTTAATGAATTAGATTTTCACATTGCTAATTCAAAGAAGAAAAGTAGTTCCTAAACATATATGATGAAAATGTTATAAATTTCGGTAAGTAAAATCAAAGTTTACACAGATTAAAATAAAAATATCACGCTCGGCTTGAATCTCTTTTCACTCTAAGACAATTCACTCTTTTACTATGCACTTCATAATTCACACTCACACTCTTACACACTCTCTAAGCACTTACACTCACTAGTTTCTTCCCCAGCATTCTTTCTTGTTCCAAGAGTGTCCAACACGAGCCTTTTGGTAACATTTTGAGCTATTATCATCCCATTGATCAAAACATCAATAAACCACAAAAAACTACCATAAGTTGGTGGGCAGCATTGGGGCATTGCAAATGGGTGTAGCAGCGCTGGGTTTGAGCTCTGCATTTCGTGACTTTGAATCATCAAACGTGGTCTTAAGGTGTGGCAGTGTTAGTTATGGCGACATGGTGGAAATAGTATCTAACATTAAGGCACTTGGAATTTAACGTTGCAGTGTCATTTCTTCCAGATTTTCATTGGAATTTCGCCATAGCACCATAGCACTTGCCTCACTATGTCGAGGCACTTACTTCAAACACTAGGGCACTATTTTTTGCTTTTTTTCATTTCTTCTAAGTGCTATCTTTATTTCTGTGTACTGCAAAAATACACGACATATATCCACGAAAAACATAAAAATAATTATAAAAAATGTTCTTAACACACTATAATATCACAAGCTACCCAATCATCCTCAACCTAAGCTTTTACCTTATTAATTGAGATCTATAAATTAAGGCTCTATCATGGTTTGTGGCTCTAATAAACTCTCAAGGTTAATTGTTTACTTATTTCATCTTCATCCTCCCTTCCAATTATGAAACCACCATAAATTTCTATCATCTAATATTATTTAGTCATATCAAAGAGACTATACCATCATAGGTGAAAGATATCCTCTTCCACCCTATATAGTCAGTGCATGATTTTAGATTAAAAGCAGAAATCTCTATTTGACTAAAAAACTATTATTTTTAATGGCCAAATCTAACTTAAAAAAATCTAAAATTATGATTATGACCAGAGTGGTATGAAACCATAGAATATACATAATTTGATCCATCACTCTTCTTTCGGGTGGGTCCCATCAACAAAAAGGTCAGAATAAGTATAAAGCATTACCTTAGCAGGTTAGTCTCATATCCTTAAATGAAATCCCACTTAGGCTTTGTTAGGCCCAAAAATATTGATCGGCAAACACAGCATTATTATGTCTTAGAATGACATATTGTTTATGCCATAGCAACACATAATCTATATTGTGCTAATATAAATCCATAGCAAATTTGCAAAGTGTCTCCATATCAACAAGTCGATAAATAAATAAAGATATATCATGTTCATATTATTATAGATGTTTCTCTCAGAAATGACACGATATCTATTTATGTTCAACTAAATCATAATTAGTCATCATTGGTGAAGACAATCGGCAATATAGTTCGAGCATTGAGAACTTCTTTCGTTATTTATTTTATATATAAGGTTTCATACCATCCAAACATTTATAAGTAGATTATTAAAGGTTCACTTGATATTATAATGTAGATGTAGTATGGTAGCAATTATTCAAAAATTTAAAAGAAAAAGTTTATATAATTGATCGGATAACAAAGTCCTTCTGTGAACCAAACTCCCCCCCCCCCCCCCCCGGCTTCAAAGACTGTTCGCTTTTTTGTGTCGCACAGCTACATCGCTCTCGTGTATGGATGAGATAATTGGATTTCTTTAGAGAAGATGACATTTCATCATGATTTCATTGTGAAAGGTCTTAATCTCCAAATTCTATTATTAATAACTATAAGAAAGTATCAACATTCATCTTACACTACATCTGTGAATATTCCCATAACATCAATATATAACAAATCATTTTGATACATTTCATTGGCGTCTTCTCAATTATATAAAAGAAAATAGGCATTTTGTAACATTTTTAAACTATTGAAATATTCAACCAAGTAAAACTCCACAATTTTTCATTAAATAAAATTTTTAAATAAAACATTTTGTAATTTTTTATTTTATTTAATTATTTAAGTGAGTGATAAAAAAAAAGAAAATCAATATCAAATATCATCCTCCATACTTAGATGTCCTTGCACATAAAATTTATGCCATTAAAAATCATTATTCCACACATACACACACACACACACATATACATATATATATATACATATATATATATATATATATATATATACTAGTATTTAAAAAAAAATAAATGTCAGATTATTAAATAATTCAAAGAAACTATTAGTTAATGACAGATGTCACCATTTTATTTTAATATTAAATTTATCTCAAAACATTCCCATGATCGTGTGACGAAAAAATTTATTGAGTAAGAATTGAAATCATTTGGGTGGGGTGAATGATGCTGGAGAAATAGGGGACAAATGTGACCTCTGATGGACTTGTATAGAATAGTCACTGTGTAAGGTCCATTTACTGATCGCCTCTTGTCGGCCCATTGGGCCACATAGGACAAGGCATGCTATGATTTGCACTGTGCTTCTATATCTGCTTTTCAATTCAGTTTTTTATTTTATTTATTTATTTATTTATTATTTTTCAGGAAAGATGAGTGCATGTATGATAACTTACACATCCAATTACCATGCTGTGTAAAAATGGAGTATTATAAAACTATTACTGTTTTGCAGTTTATTAATTTTTTTTTTTTCTCTGAGAAAAAAGTGATCCTAAAAAAATATGTGTGATTCAAATTCATGACTTCATGATACAAAACTATACTCTTAATAATTATGTTGCTGGCAAGTGCACATTATAGTTATTACATAACAAAATTGAGTTGAAATCTGGCTCGACCGACATTTTATTAGAAAAGTTTGTTTTAAAATAATAATAAAATGAAAATAAATTACATAAATATCATATAATTTTTATATATCGATACATATAATTTTGAAATTTAATTCTTTTATCATGACAGTGTCGAAATTTTTGTACAAAAAAAATTAATAATATGCATATTTTTATGTGATACTAAAGATTTGAGTATAGAAAATAGTTTTAAATAATAGAATTGAAGAGGTTTGATTTATACAACAAAGGATTGTCATAGCGAAAGAAGATTTACACGCAAACCACTTAATTCTTATGTATTTACATATCAAATTTCTAAATTTTATTTTTGACATTTGAGTTCGTTTGGTACGACAGCAGTTGTTTGAATGAAGTTGCTGAAGAAGAAACTATTAAAAAAATTACGGTGGCTATTACAAGATTATTTTTTTTTAGAAAAAGCAAGACAGCAGCGTTCTAACAGCCACCACAGGTAGTCAGATATGATGAGAAAACACAACTTTTAGTTGTATCTTTCTGAGAATGCAGGGGAAAAATTGTTTTACCGAATGGAAAAAACTGTGGTGCGGCACCACAACGCCAGCCCCAACCGCATTTTTATATAAATTGTAGGATTAAAATTAGATCATGTGAATAATTGGGACTACTTTGACACCACCCAATTTTGTAGACTATGCAGTTCATATAAGGTTGGTACAGCTAGTGGGCTACCACGGAGGTAGAATGCGACACATCGTGATGGATTTTTGTTGCTTATAAATAAGAAATTCATTTTAGTTAATTTCCACATGTTTGGGCATATAAAGAAGGATAAAGGCCAGCTTAGCTAATTTCATGCAAAACATAATTTAAGTGATCAATTCTGGCTGATAGTGACATGGCTTAATTGATTAGCTTACTTAAGTTCGACGCAAAATTATTATTAAAAATAACGGCAGGAGTTGGAGAGAAGAATAAAATCTAGAAAGTTATTTAATAAATTTTATTAAAATATAAAGCAATTGGCCAATTATTATCTCCTATAAATTTATAAAAATTATAGCCTAAAGAATCTTAGCAAATAATATATGGTAAATAAATTATGAGCTAAAAAAATTGCCTCTCCTAAATTTAATTAATTGATAATAATTTAATTTTAATTATGCTTTTAATGTAATAACTATATTTATGATAATTAAAAATTTAAGGAAAAAAAGTTTTAATTTGGATGCTCACCATCAGTTGAAATTTGATTTCGCCATCCCTCTCCTCGATTTTGATTTCACCATGGTGTGCATTCTAAATTATTTTCATGAGTAATAGACAACTATGCTCAGCTTAATTTTTCTTTTTTTTTTAATATATATATCTTCTCTCTTTTATTAATACTTAAAAAATCAACATGGTGTTAAAGAAAATATTCTGAGAGCTACTCCCCTCTCCTGCTTAGTCACTAATAATCTTATCCTGATTTTACCTCTCTGCATTGCCCTAGTGAATCCTTCAAGTTCCAATGATAGCAACGGTTTAGAAAATGTCAATT